TGTTGGATGTGGGAATCGATTTCGAGGTATCGATTGTGTCCCTGGCCCATATGACGTTAGTTCGTCTATCGACTTCGCTCCTCTTGTGATTCTCAAATTTAACATTAACGGAGTTAACGTACAGTGGTTCATTATGTCATCATGGCTCTTATGTTTTAAGCATAAAACCAAAGAGTAGAGATCTCTCCTCTGTGCATAAAACACAGCTTGAAGCTTGCAAGCGTTCAACGTCGTCACTTCTTTCTCTTTGAAATGAAAAGTCCAGGTCGCCCTGTCGTTCACCGCTACAGCGGCAATCGCGCGGACATTCAAATCCCCCCTATCCCTGCCTCGTAAATGCTACGATGTGATGTGTCACAGAATTAAGCAAGTACTTATGCATCCACTAGAAACTCAGTGTGAAGCACAAAATGTGAATAAACATACAAAACATATTAAGGAAATAAAATGTTGACGAAATAAGTATTTGTATTGCAAAGGTATTTAAATAAATAATATAAACCTAGAATATATTCCTTGGGCTATGTAATTTACGACAGATTATTTAATTTTCTCCTTATACGATAATTGTAAATATCTTCCTTCCGTGTCCAATTACCGGCGATGTAGCCAGACAGGTGCAACAAGTAAAGGTTCACGAATGGGGGTCACCCTCCGACTCCCAATAAAAATAGCGAAGACAATGAGAGCACCATTTCAACATTCCACGCCAATGCTCCCTGAGAACGTGACAATTACAATAATTGCTACATATTGAAAACAGATCCAGAAAATCCGATTGAAGTCGTGCAAGTTCGAGAAGTTCTTTATGGCACAAACCATGATGAGATGTTTCATGAAGATAATAAGGTAGTTTATGAACCGTGATAACCATTATTCATCAGTATCAAGAAGCTTCATTTAAGACATTTTTAATTAGTTAATTATTCACTAATATTTAAATAAATTACCAAGTTTCCTTATGTTTAAAAAATTTCGCTGAAAGTGCATAAATTTGCGGTAATTTCCAGATATGTGAAAATATGCAAAATAAAATTTGGTAGGAAAGCTCCTAATGAGCTAATGCGTAAAAGAAATGTGATAATTTTCTTTTTAAAAAATAGCAAAAAATATGTGCATTTTCTTACTAATTCGGGCTCTATTAAAACTGAACCGGGATAACTAATATACTACAAAATAAATAAGGACTTATTTAAAAAACACTGCTAGTTTTTTCTCGGTTCCAATGGGGCTTGTGGCATTGCAGTCCTCTCTTTAATTTTCATTTTTGATTAGTTCATTCACTTCTTTGAAATTATCACTGTTAAATCTCAAATAATTCTTAAAATTTTCATCATCAAATTCTTTACGCGCTATACTCACTGTGCTGGATACTCGGATTGACATGAAATTTTACCAGCTAGTTCAGCACTTTTCAAAATACCTACATACAAATTTTTAAGAGCTATGAAGCATTGCAAGTAGTGGTTTGACGAGTGGTTAGTGGTTAGTATCAAAACCTTTCGTGTTTTTACTGCCTATTTACCTATTATCTGCCTCCTTGCCTATTTTCTGCCTATTTACTGCCTACTACTAGGAAATCAAGGCGCGCCCCCAGACCGGCGGCCGTGCTTTGCTAGAAATCTGGTTAACGCCAAAGCCAACGTTTACCAAGGCACATTCACAATGCAAACGTAAACATAAGCATAACGCATAGACGTAAACATTATCGTACGTGATAGACTGAAGTATTCACAATGTCTAACATAAACGTAAGCAAAATAAGAGTTTCTATTGACTGTGAGACATTCTAGTTTACTGTTGGTTACAATTGGAGGTATCGACGGTGACCATGGCAATATAGCGTTAGGTTGTTTGTGCTCATGCGCAGTTCAAGTTTCGCATCATTGTAGTGCATCTACGCATGCGTATATCCACGTTTGATATTGCTGACGCTAAGGCTGGTACAAACTCTCTGTTAGTTCGTATATCAACTTCACTCCTATTTCGATTCTCGATTTTGGGTTAACGAACGGTGATTGATTTGTTTCTAATGTCTTCCTTAAGCATAAGCAGAGAAGCGTGAAGCTTGCAAACTTTTAAGTTAACGTCTTACGTCTTATGCTTATGCGAGCGCATTGTGAATGTGTCCGCTTATGGACGTAGTCGTATGTTAACGCCATTCTTATGATTGTGTTTGCATTGTGAGTGGGCCTTAAGGATATTTTCATTGCGTTCAGGGCACCTAAAGGAGAGTACGAACTCTTCCAAGTGTGGCGTCATATCAGTCGCCTTGTACAAACATGACAAAATATCAGCCACGTGCATTTCATGCTCATGGACAGCGCTGGCGGGAAGAGACGCCGGGCTGAACAATGGCAAACCTAGGGAGCGGAAGGGAAGGGGTGCCGTGTCGTGGGTGGCCATTTGTGAACCCCGTAGCCTACTTGGGGCAAACTTGTGAACCCCGTAGGCAAGTTAGCTGTGGAAATGCGTCGGTGGAAACAGCGAGATGACGCAGTTCCGTCAGCCGGCCCAGAAGGTAACATAAACGGACCGCGGACCTAAACTCCTTCTGATTCTTGGGCGCGTCGGTAGGAAGTCGTGTGGGTTGTGCGCGCTGCATTTCATTGCATAGGCTACTGAGGCAGGGAACTGAAGCCGGCGTGCTACGTCGAGACGAGAGGTGCGACATACTCGCTTGTATGCTCCCGTAGGCCACTGGTGCATCACACCGAATAAGATATCTAATTATCAGGCCAGCGGTGGTGGTGGCCAGGAACATTCCTTCTAGTAACGGGTCAATATTGTTTATTGTAATTATTGTACATAGTATTCAGGTATTGGAGCATATGTCAAATAAATACTCAATAAATTAAAAACCGTTCATGTCTGTGATTTATTGCCCCGGCAAAGACAAGGAATAGTCACTCGATTTGAATGAAGCGCGCTACGCGCGCGGTGTTGCCGACTGGCGTGTTTGCGTCCGGCGCGAGAACGTCTTCTGGCTGAAATTAGCTTATTATTTTTGCGGAATTCTCCAATTTGAAACGGTAGATGTTCTTCATATTGTGTTGATTGTTTCTTCGTGATGCTAGCTACCTGAGCAATAGATTTTACGTTCTCGCACTCATTAACGTAAGAAGAGAAAGTATTGTAATCGTGCGCTGGAAAACGGCGAATTTTCGACACAAAACCTCTTATTGCCGGGCCCCTGTAACGAAAAAGTGGATAAATTCAGTTGCTAAATAAAGAAAAAAAAATCTTCCAACACATGGTGTAGCCAGAATCTATGTTTTGTGCGTTCTTCATTAAGAAAAATCGATTGACGGCAAAACGTCTGTATCTTCGTCTGTGCACAACGCTAGCGCATTAACCGTTCGGCCTGTTTTCTCCAAAATTGATATTCCCCAATCGTTCCGGACGATGTCTTGGTCCCTGGAATCAGCTAGATTCACTCCATTTTAAAATTTCTGGTCTTGTTCAAATCACGATAAGAGCCTATGTTGAAATAGAAACTTAATGGCCTTTTTCTTCAAGAACTAATGGTGAAATTGATTCAAAAACTAGAATGTCCCATCTTTAGATTAATGCGACATAATGGACATGTTAAAGATATCCCTATTTCACTCTTAACTCCAATAAACCTCATGTCTTGGAAGTAGGATTTGTTGAAACCTAATTACATATTTATTTCATTACTTAAAATGAAATGTTGGTCATAAGTCATAAGAGGCTTTTTAAAACATATTTACTTGAGCATTTTTTTCAGGGTTAGTATATACATTCACATATTAAGAAAATTTCACTTATGGTTGTAATTTCAACATATTATTTATTTAATATTTTTTGCAATCATTCAAAATTATCCATCAATTTTTTTAACTCTTAGATTAATTTTAAGTAGTGGGTCAAATTTTGTTGAACTGATTTCATCTTCACAAGATAAGATATTGCAAAATTGAATATTGTCATCATTATAATTCTGATGCAGAATGTATTTTCAGTCAGCGAAAAAGGAACATAGAAACAAGAAGTGCAGTTAAATGTTTGAACTTTTTAAACTATGCTTTGAAGCTCATTGCTTCATAAAGGGTCAACAGTCACAAAAGGACTAGGGCTCTTGCTTTCAACTACGCAAAAATGTTCAGTTCAATTTAATACTACAAAGAATTAAATCTTGTTCTATTACTTGTAAAAACTAAGTTTTTTGGCCATTCTATTTTCACAACTTAAATTTATTTGATTGACAATGTATTTGATTAATACATTGTTTTTTCTAGTTTTATTTTATATTCAATTCTTGGTCAATATGTGCATAATTAGATACCAAAAAAAATACCTTATAAAACCAAACCTTTGTCATGAGTATTCAGTACTTTCTTTTAGAATTCTTTGATTGCACTACAACTTTTTATAGACAAGTACCCTTTCTCTGACCGAACATGTTGTAATGTGAGTGTACTGGCAAATTGAAGCCTTTGCTACTGTTTATAGTTTAATTTATTGGCTTCCTCTTTGAACTGTTTGAATTGCTATACTTTCATTATTACCAAACATTCATAATTACTTGTTGAATTATCAAGCTTTCTAAGTCAAGCCCTATTATTTATAATTGAAACTGAAGACAACACGTTATTAATACACATATTCATAGAATTTATTAAATATTTGTTCACAACTATTTAATACCAGATTTTAAATCAAAATGACATCTCAATAAAATGCAAATATTTTAAGTGTTCCCATTATTTTTCTTCAATATATGATTTTCAAGGCATTAATTTTATTTATTCTGAAATGCAGTGAACAATAGTGATAAAACCTACGATGAAAATCAGCACAACTTTAAAATTACTGAAAAATATAACAAAAGAAAAATGTCTTCCATTATGAGTTGGTCAATTAGAACCATTAATTAGGTCATTTTCACTCTTTTTCCAAATTTCATTACACAAATATCTTGGAGATGGCGTTAAATTCAATTCTGATTGCTATTTTGTATTTTATAAATTATGTCAGTAAAACAATGAAAGAAGGCTAAACTTTTTTCATTTTGGAAATTCTAGTAAATTGCTCCTTTTCTAATTACTACACAAAAGCAGCATAATTCTGAAGGACAAGTCAGAATAGGTCAGAAGGTCATCAGCCCCAACCACACTTGTGGCACTTTCTGATCAGCCCAAAGAAAATATTTAAAAAGTGCTACAGATATTGAGCAATTGTCCTTTACAAAATACAGGCCTTTTGAGGAGAAGACTGCTCTAATCTAAGGATATTTAAAATGCAAAATGAAATTGAAGTTTAGCAATTTTATTCATAGAAGCATTGCACTGAAAGCTATCCCAATAATTTTTGCTGTACAAGGATTTTTTAACCCAAATTTTATTTCTACAGACACTAAGTGATTACTTTCTTGTTTGTGAACAAAATATTTTAAATTAATAATAAGATCAGGAAAGGAAAAATAAATAACACAACAATGACAAAGGTACAAAGCCTACTTCCTTCCACACACACAGAACTGTTTATAAAGACAATGAGGTTTTCTGCCATGCTTCGAAGAATGAATACGCAATTATTATCACTCAAATCTACAATTTATTTCTAATACACTTTAATTCTGTTTCAGATGGATGACACTGAAGAACTATGACATAATATCAAATTCTGATATACATCATGGAAGACATTGCAACTCCAACTTGAAGGGCATATTAAGTATTCACATATTGTACAAAACACATCTGCAGATTACCATTTAACAGGCCTTCCACTGCCAAGTTTCACCACGAGGCCAAGCACTGAGAAGAAAAGGAAAGGAAACTATAACAAAGATATATATATATATATAAAAAATATTATACTACATGGTTAGGTACTAAATGTTTCCCAAATTGTTGTACAGTAAATTTACTAGTAAACCTATCACAATAAATGCAAATAAAGACACCTAATTGTCAAATTTATTATTAAAATATCCGTAAAACTGGAGCACATTGAATATGTTATACCTTTGGGTTTTCTTTTCAACTTTTGTCAAATTATACTAACAAGGTAGTTTCACCTGGTGGGAATAAAATAGGATGATTGTAATAGATTTACATGACAGGACAAAAAATGATGGCCCTGAGAACAAGTAAAATACTGTGGACACTAAAATTTTATTTCAAAAAATGTATGTAAAAGAGTATGAAATCAAGAAAACAAATCCTGCATTTACTCTATTTTATTTTCAAAATATGAAATTTGGAAAGAAAAAAACTTTTAACAAACCTCAATTATTAGCATGTTTCTGATTTTCTGTCCTTTTGTATAATATGATCAAATATGCACTTTACAAAACAGAATTCACTAATGAATTAAGAGAAAACTTCTATCACTGTTGATTATTGCTTTGACAAAACAAATGATAACCGTTGTGAAGTCATGTGCTTACAAATGCACTGCACTAATAGTTTGCTTCTGGCACTGTGATTAAAATGGAAACATGTGTTAATTTGTAAAATGAAATTTATCTTGAACATACTAATTAAATATTTTATTTCTAGTTATTAAAATATTATAATTCCAGTTCCAATACATTTTTCATGAATTAACAGCAAATTTAAATACAATACATTTTATGGTAAGAGCCAGAATTTTTTTTTTATAAAATGTTATATTTACTTTTATAAAAGAATATATAATTTAATTAAGATGATTAGAAAAAAATAAAGATTAATATAATTTAATAATAAAGAATATACTTCATGAAAAGTCTATCACTACAATGGCAGCAGAGATAGCATCCTATTTATACAATACAGGGAAAATTCCTTTTGGTTCGCAGAGTGAGATATTTTGAAACTGAAATGAAGCTACTTAATATGGGAGCAGACTCATATTATAACTTTTTTTTAACTTGATAAATAAGAGATGAAATCTTTTTCAACTATTGAAAATATAATATTAATTTTGATTCTGATTAATTTTGTGAATTTTTTCATACACTTTTAACAATAAAATTTATGATTCCTTAATATCTTACATTTCTGAAGTCAAAAGTTCATGTTGCATTATAATTTTGAATTCTTTTGAGCAAATCTAGATCCATTAACCAACTCAAAGCAAGCGAGGTTCTCTTGTAGAAAGGATAAAAACTCGGTTTGTTTAGTAGATTAACTTTACTAACAAATAAAAATTACTCTATTAAGTAATTGGAGTACGTGAACATGACAATACATGTTTTTGAAATCATAAAATGCTTTCTAAACATACTTCCTCATAAAATTTGGTTCATAAAACCTAAGACTCCATGATAATTCAATTTTAAAAAAGCCATTTTTTATTATTGATTCAATATGTACTATATTCAGATACAGCCAAACACAAATTCAGTCACTGTGCCTAAGAGATATCTCATCTTAAACTCCTCCCCTTCCAGAAAATATGTAGAACTGCAAAAGCATACTTTCTTGTATTACTTGAATTGGTCATGTAATTTATAATGTAACTTGTGTCCTAAAACATCAGCCATCTCATGAAAAACTCTCGTCTCTAAGATTCTTAAAAAATGTGTATAAGAAAATTAAAGTTTCAATGAAAATGATATCTGTGCTAAAGAATACAGAGTATTGTTATTCCATTACAATAATTACATGCGATTTTAAAACAAATTTAAAAACATTTTTGTGGAAATTTTGTTTATACATTTTTGAAACATTGCCATGACTGTCCTCCAAAGTATCCACAATCTATTAGTACATTGCCAAATAAATCACCTGATAGGATAAGTAACGAAAAATAGATTGCTTCAAAACAGTTCAAAAAATGTATGTTTTTCCACTGCACCGTGCAAGAGCAATGTCAAAAGCAAAAAATTTAAATAACAAATTTGAAGCCATTTTTGAGAAAATATTTGAAAATGTTGTTTGGGCTTCACATGGAGTATGAACACACAATGGAAGATCTGTTTGAAACTTGCAGGGTCTTGTTCAGCAAAACTGATCAAGGAAAATCAATTTTCAGGAAAATTCTGTTTGTGTGGTTCACAGACAGACTGAAGAAAGAAAGGAAAGGAAAGGAAAAAAGATTAGTTTTTCACTAGTGGAGGCCCCTGGAAAGTGTATTTCCATCACTATCTTTTTTTCTTCTTTTCTTTTTAACATATATTTTCTGAATGTTCAGCCCGTAAGTTATTTCCAAAACTGCATCATCTTTATCATTTGGTTTTCCTTCTAGATTCACAATCTCTCAACCTCTTCAAACAGTTTGTTAACCAATCCATAATATTTCATACTTCTCGTATAAAACTCTTGAAGATTGGATAGAAACAATTTTCTGGCAACTGGCTTTCTATTCACAGAAGTCCAACATTGTTTCAATACTTCAGGAAAATTAAAACCAATTTATATGTCAAGAAATTTGGCAAAGTCATCTCATGGTGAAAAATTACTCTATGATGAAGGTAGGTACAATGGATCAAAATATATTTTGACTGACAATAGGGAACTTGATGTCAACAATATTAAAATCCAAAAAAACATATTATCTTCAGAACTTGTTGCTCAAATCTTACTAAACATTAATAAAAACAAAATGATCTAGGGAAAAATACAATAGTGATTAGAATTAAATTATAGCTATGATCAAAATACCTAACCACTCGACTAATAACTCCTTTGTAATGAAACTGAAGTTTAAATCATTACCTGCTAAGAAGTACATGAGAAATACTTTACATCAATCAAGTATTAAAACATTGGCAATAAATGGTAAAGGTAATTCAGTATTTGATTCATTCCCCTAAACATAAGCAGGGTACTAAACAAAACATTATTACATTCGAAGTGGCCCCTAAAATATTCCTTTACAATAAGAATCTATAACCATTCATTATGTAGAGTATGGAATTCCAAAATCGTAATAAGCAGATGCATAAAGTGATCCACTGATAAGTTGCACAATTTTAAAATATTACTTCAACCTACATTGCAGTTTTTTTGAAATATTAAAAGTTTACATTGAAATAACATTTATATTGTATTTAACTCTATTCCCTCAAAGTTTTAAGAGAAAATGTGGAGCAGTTTTTGAGTGTTTACAAAATTGACTTCAAATTCAAGGAAAAACTACTCATGTTTTCAAAACTCTGTACATGAGCTTATTGAAAGATCTATTTTAGATTAAATTTCATTCAGGTAAAAAAATCTGTATCTTCAATATGTATTTTTAAGAATTTATTGAAAACATTTAACTTCTGCAATTTTAAAAATTTTAAATAAATCAACAAAAACCGGTCCTGGACCATTTTTTAATATTGTAACTTACTATAAGAAGAAGAAAAAACAAAAAAAAATGTTGAGCTACTTTTGAGTTGTGGCTCTATGTTGATTACAAGATGTTTTACCATAAACCTATTTTTTGACATCAAGGACTTATAAAATATGGATTCTGACAACACAATATTAGAGATAGTAATTTACTACATAAAGGACCCAAGAATTTTTTGGCACTGGGGTCCTAAAATACAACCTTTTCTGGCAAAAAATAAGTTTTTCACCACAGCATTACATATACTATGTAATAAATGGCCAACTAAGAAATAATTTTAAAAAGTAACAATAATTGATGCCTTGGATTTGATGCATTTTAGAGTAGGAAAAAAGAAAAGGTGAGAATATAAATAAATGAAAATCCTTGTCCATTTCTAATGTTAAATACTGTTAAAACTGTGAGTGATGTTCACCCGGGAAAAGCGTATTTTGTAGATACTTTCTTTAAATCTGGGATCATTACCCTAATCTAATATACAAATTGAATTACGAATACACGTGGCAACAACTGTTTTTGGCAGATATTGATAAGAAAATAGTATCTCCTGTGTAATAAAAGCTATCTGCAAAGGAAAAAAGCTATAGATTTTATCTCATATCCCTCATCATGCCCTTTATGAAGGAATCAACTTACTGCTGCAAGAACACAAATATGTTGAATAACTATATTACTCACTGAAATCCAAAAAATGTGCACAGATAGTGAATTTGTTTATGTAACTTGTAACGCCATGCTTCAAAGAACATAGAAGAAGAGATGCAGTGCCATTATTATTTCACAGTAACTACAAGAAAAACGTTTTCATGAAATTCATGTGAAAAAATTATGGCACTTCCTACAGAATCAATTCAAGTAATTTTTTATTACAGCAATACTATATAAAATAATTTGTTCTGTGCAAGTTGCAAATTCCTGAGCAAAGTTTCAATAAATGAAACTAAATGGAACATCAGGCAACCAAACAGCTGGTCATTCCCCCAGATGTTAAAGAACCAAACCAAAAATTTAACATTCAAAAACTTGCAAAAGATTAAAATTTAATAGTGATATTGATTAACAAATTTAACTAAATTACTAAAATCTATTGAAGACACAAAGATAAACATAACAAAAATGGGGAAAAAAATTATATTGTGAAATGATAGTGGTCGTAAACTGACCGATAAATTCTTGGAAGTTATCAAAACCATTTTTTAACTTTGAAGAAATAAAAAGAGAACAGAATAGAAATAAATATAAATCAATATTTATTTTAAAAGAAAATAGCAACTGTGTGACTGAAGCAAGATTTCCATGTTGTTGGTCTTCTATATCCATTCAGACAATTGTTCTTAGGAATAAGAATGAGACTCGAAATCAGCTATCCATATTTCAAAATTTTTCATACAAATTACACATTCAATATCACCACCGTAGGCAACTTCACAAAGGAATATCAATGCTCTCATCATCACATAGGAGAGTATATGCAAGAATATTGTAATCAATCCCCAGGTATAAAGTAATTATACTCTTTTCACCATCCTGACAATTCTGCAGCAGCACCTAGAACTTAAAATGTTTACAGGTACTACAAGTATTAAAAGCATGTTAACCCAATATCGAAAGTAATTGTTCTGTATTTTGATACTGAAAGTAACATGAAAACTTATTAACATGTCAATTTCCAATTTACAATAACTCCTAATTAACTAAAAATAATTACCTAGGATATATCACTGCAAAGCTACCATAGCATTTTACTGTATGTTTTCCAATATTTAATGAACATGATGCCCTAGAAACACATAACAGCAGAACATACAAAGATTGTAACATATACATTGTGTGATGCTTTAAATTACAACTACAGTTTGACTTGTGCATATGCACATCTCTTCATACTGCCAATAATGTTATCACATACATTGAATTCCTTCAAAGAAACAATGAAAATGAAGAAAACATAAAAGGTGAAGGAGGGTAAGACCAAGACAATAGAATATAAAACATACTTTTATTTTTGAGTTCAAAAAATGCCTAAACAATTAAAAAAGGACATCAGAACCAAATGTTAAATATAAAATATGCATTAAATAACCCAAGATGTGTTCTTTTTTGTTTTTCAATATCAGTAACAATTTTATTCATTAACAGCCAAGAAACATTTCATTACTAGTCACGAAAATGGCTCAAAAGCATTTCACAAGAATTTGAAGTTCCAGAAAAGAATATCTAGCAAAAAGGAAATGGAAGAGAGGGGGCAGGGTTAGCCATCAAAAGAACACAAATCTGCTTTGCACTTTTAAGTTTATACCTAAAACGTAAGGTATCAATACATTTCTCAATTTCCAGTTTGTTCTCAGTATTAAAGGATGACACCTTACATTCATGTTCTGAATACTATTTAATACTACAGCACAATATCAAGTCTCAAGGCTGCTACTCAAGGATTAAACAAATCAAAACTCCTGAGAAATACCATTTACTTCACTAACCAACGTTTACACATTTATCACAAGGATGAACTAAACAGGGTTTTGTCATGTTAAGATGATCCTAACATAGATGTCAATATTTTGCAACATGCAACTTGAAATATTTAATATATTCTTTTCCAAACACATAATGAACGCAAAAAAAAAGTACAAACATATACAAATTATGTAAAACAAGGTAACGCCTCTTGAAGTACAGTAAACCTTATCACAATGAAAACAGGTGCACTGACCAAGATATTAATTACTACAGCACCATACACTAAAAAATATTTGATTATTAGAATCCATATATTGGAAGTTTCGAGCCAAGAACATAGAATATATCTGTAGCATACCAAAAGAATTTAAGAATGATATAAACTTATAACAGGTGCAATATCATGTAACCCAATAAATACAATACAAACATAATTCCACTTATTTATTTGATTTACAAAATTATGGATACATTTTTTGTAACAGTGTCTTGGAGGAAGACACTATTTTATGAAATGGACTGTACATGCTTTTAGAACACATCACATGAGCCAATGATGCAAATTGTTTTAACCTCAGTAGAGTTCAATGAATTAATACCAATTTCTTAAAACATATATATAGATATTTAAACAGGCTTATAAGTATTGACGAACATCTCATAATTATCTAAAATTGTCTGTTGTTTCTATAGGGTTGTTATAACAGGTAGCTCATGATGATTCTTACCACAAGAGGAAATGTAAAACAGCCTGCATAAATCAAATCTGAAAGAGAAAATAACAAATCAATGTAGGTTGAAGCTCCACATGCTTCAAAATGTACTTCCTCTAAAATTATCATTAAAATGAAAACTCACAGCATCAACAGGATCTCCTTCCCCTTCATCACTGACTTCATCACCAAATTCAATGTCCTCATCTAATCCTTCTTCAACGAATGTAACCATATCATTGATGCGTACTGCAAAAAACAATGATCCTTAATTTTCACACAAAGCCAAATACAATAAGGAATAATTAGGTAATATTCAATTTCTCTAGGTTATATGAATGCAATTCTTTATTACTTGGCAACTACCTCACAGATTTAACTTTTATCAACTTACCTGTTTCAGGGAACTCTCCATATGTTTTCAAGTTTCTAGCTTCATCAGGAGTGTATTTTAAAATAACATCTGCCTTGGCATCCTGATAATCTCTCAAACCAATGAGGATAATGTCTCCCTGATTTATCCACACCTTTCAATACAGAAATATGAATAAACAAAAAATTGCAACAACTTGACAAAGAAATTAGGCAATGAATTAAAGCACTTAATACCTTTTTTCTTAATTTTCCTCTAATGTGACAAAGTCTTTTCACTCCATCAAAACACATGGCTTCAAGTCGCCCATTTCCAAGCATTTTTGTAACTTGTGCGTATTCTGAAACATAATAATAGGGCAATGTTCACGAACCCGAAACTAGAACAAACGCTTTTATCATGTTGAAACACAGCCTTCATCATTTCAAGGCAAACCACAATTCAATTTCACCTTGGCCATCTTCCTTAAATACCAATTCTCTTTTCTCAGTTTCATTTTCGTTCTTTCCTCTTCTCCGGTTTTTACCTCCCTTTCCTGAAACAAAACGATTAGTAAAATATCTTGTTTGCAATTTCAAAACAACAGCTATTTGTGGATCATGACAGACGTAGTCTGACACAAGAACAATTTTACTCTCTACATACACAAGAATTATTCAGGGGCCCATAGGTTTTTAAGCGGAATGAATATAACTATGGTTTCATTCAATTTTGCGTACAACTCAACATCAGATACAGGCATGTTATAATACTTCAATATACACGAAGGTGAAATGGCTGACATGCGGGTTCGTAGCATATGACTTGCATACACTATATGCTAATGCTTGATCTACGATAAAGATAGATTTCCCCTCTTACCTTTATTCTTCGGCATTTTGTTTCAGCAAAGGTACTTCCACAAGAATTTAACCAGGTATAGCTGTTTGGGCACGAAATCTGAAAGAAAATTTCTGTAGCATACCAAACCGTGAATGGACGTTCAGGAAGTAATTCGTTGCAACATCTCGCTTAAAATAAAAATAAAGAAAGGGGAAGTAGTGGTGCTAAATAGCTCATATAAAATTAATTTTTTAATCACATTTATCAGTAGAAAAAGTTATAGATAATTTCACGCCAAATAATTTTGCAGTACTTGGCACGACTTAATTTGCACTCGCGATGCATCTGACTTCCAAGCCGCTCGAACGAAGCGCGGACTTTCTGAGCGCGGGTGATATTAAAATTTGTGTATGGTGCGATCTCCTGGCACGTTACCCAAATCTTACATTTTTTGAAGGAAATGTTAATTGATAACACTCAAACTAATGAATAAGTATTGAACGAAAAATAATTAAAAAACACAACATAAGATCTGTCACATATATTTGTAAAAAAGGAAACGTTTTCTATTTGCTGCTATTGCAGAGAATCATGCATTTATAAAAACGGGGCAGTGTTACTACACATTATACATGTTCTTTTTCCAAAACAAAGCTGCTCGTTCTACAAATTGTTCAAAAATAATAAAATAACATTTTTAATTCATATCAGCTAATCATGGTGCTTCATTGAAATGTTTGAATGCAATAATTCAATTAATAAATGAGAACAGAGATAGTTTGTCAAAATTCAATCCAAAATAACTTTTGGCTTAGAACTTTTTATTAGTAAGAATTACACATTACATTACTTTCCCCAGGGCTGAAAATTATTTTTATTTAGTCACCATTTCCAATGTGCTTCTTTTCAAAATACTACTATCCAAGATGCAAAAAACATGATCTTCACATCCAAAGAAGTATTTTCACAATGAATAAACCTTCACTTTCTCATTTTCAAGCTTACAATTCAAAATATTTTATTTTAAAAATTTTATGGAAAAGGGGTTCCCAAATGGAATTGGCATCACTGAAATACTTTCTCGATCTCCCCCTGATTTCTAAGGATATCAAATGTAAAAGAAGAATTTGTACAAGGTATGCAAGGGTAAAAGGATGATGGATTACAAAGGATTATACAACTAAACAAAATGTAGAATAATTAGAATGTATACATAGTCTCTATTTTTCATATCAGTTTCTTTCAATTACATACTGTCATCAGCATTTACATAAAATCTATCCTTGCATACAATTCTTAGATAATGTACATTCAAACGGTTAAGAGATGATCCTTTGAGATCCAGCTCAGATGATCTCTCAATAATTTCTAAAAGTACGTAAGTTAAGAATAACAATTCTGGGAGTACAATGAAAGTTATAAATAAAAATAAATGTGTCACAACATTAAAACAATTTCAAACTACATCACACATTACATACATTAAAACCATAAACACTGTCACACAAAAATCTACTTTTTCATACCTTCTCTGATTTAAGATATTTAAAAGGAAGTACAGATAAAAGGCAAATATCTAAGCACTATAAAAGTACAATGTAATATAAAAGTATCAGTTTTAACAAAAATACATGTATTTGAAAACAATAAATAAATATAAAATATACAAAGTTAAAATAATAACTCAAAACATTTTTCCTTTCAACTTAGCTTTATCCTCTTCATTTTTCTGTTTCCTAAGTTCCTCAAGAGCTTTCATTTCTTTTTTTATCACAGCATTTAAAGAAGGATTAAGTTTCAATGCTTCATCAAAGTCATCTTGTGCTTCTTGTGGGTTCCATGCACCAACATGAGCTTTAGCTCTTCTAAAAAGGGCCTTCACGTTTCCTAAAATGCATTCAATTGCAAAATTACATATTATTCCAGCAATTAATCTTAGATTTATACAGTCACAGCAAAGAGAAAGCACATTAATGCTACAATCCTACCAATGTATTTTTAACTTTAAGATGAATGACTTTATGTTATGAAATCATTACATCTAATAAGTTTTTTAAAGCTTTTGTCCTTCTTCTTTAGTTTCTTTAAATTGGGTGTAAATAAATATTTTCATGAATTCCTAGCTTTGTATCATTAACAGCAACATGATAAAAATGTTAAGTATTCAGAAGCTAAACAGTTTCATCTCTGATATGTCCGAATTAAAAATAGAAAATTATCACAGGCAGTTCAGTTCTTCGAGAATACTGGCACTGCAGACACCTCACAGAGAAAAATTTAATACCAGTTGACACATTGACACAAATATAGTGTCAATTCTAGGATAAGTACACAAAATCAGTGTTATCAACAAAAATTCAGAAAATAAAAGAAAAAGAGGGAGAGAAGTGAATTTCAAGTCATCTTACATAGTAGTGGAGAGAATCATAATTTTTACT